CTTTGCAGTTTCAATAGCAGGAGTCTGTCTCCCTACACCAAGTCTGTTTCGATAATTATGACCGATCAAAGCCATATCCTAAAATATAGAGGTGACAGGGCAATGTTATTCAAACTCTTTGCTATTTTTCTGCTCCAGTTCAAAGAATGACTTGGAAGGGACCTTAAAGTTCATTTAGTTCCAAGCCTCCTCCATGAACGTAGGTTCCTCAGTTATAATATCATTTACTGTTTTGTAGGCCAGTCATAAGTTTCCAAAAGAAAACTACTTATTCTGTAAAACAACTTACGATAAGCACTGGAACTCCCATGACAAACTGGCCTGAAAGCGAGTTAGTCCCAGACCAACCAGCGTGTTTAGCAGTCAACTGTCAATATTACCACAGAGAAAGTCCTGCATTCTAAGCCTAGTTTTCCATCTTAAATTCAGCTTGTCTCACTTGCATATGCTCTAGCAACAACTGATTTCTTTGAGTAGCCCATGAAACTCCTAAACATAGGAAGCTGTTTTACAGTAGGTGCAAGAACTGTGACAACCTTGCTAGCTGTGCCATGAAGTTTTTGTTCATTGTTTTCCAAAACTGAAACCACATATTCTTCTTCAGCCAGATGAACCTTGGTTTCTTGCAGATCTTTTTGTGTTTCTTCTAGCTCTTTCTCCTTGATTTGCAGATGTGCTTTACACTGTTGAAGTTCATTTTTACTAACTGTGAATAGTTCAGTGATCTAAAGAGGAAGACAAACATCAGTAGGTCAACATCACTTTTTAAGAATTCAAGTCTCACTTCACATCTCCCAAATTATGCAACAATATCAAGAAGCAAAATGTAATTTCTGCTGTAAGAGTTAGAGGTCTTAAACAGGAGGTTTGTATGGCCTTTGTATTCACTGAAAATATCAACCCATCACCATTCTCATTGAAATAATCCCATGCTTCCTCACTCCAAACACAAAAGTAAACCACTTCTATAGGACAAGGAAAAAATCCCACTGAACACACATAAGCAGATAGACTGGAGAGAGTCAGTAAAGCTGATTACATATTCCAGCAAATTAATACCTACACTTCTCTTTTACTAGGAGCTCCAATTTTCTGTATAATTTGTTAATGGGAGCTCATGACCCTCTCTGCTCCTAAACAGGTATCTGTCAACTGAGACGATATCATTTTACAAGAAGATTTTTTGCTGAAGATCCAGCAATGCAAAGTAACAGACATGAAAACAGCTTTAAAAAAATAAATACTGCACCCTGAAACTTATATATGTTGTTATTTCAACTTCCTGACTCAAGGATTAGGATGCTTCCGCTCTTGACTAATTGGAGAACTTTAGGAACAAAGAACTAAAAAAAAAAAAAAAAGTTTAAAAAATAATAATAATAAAAAAATTAAAATATTTTGACTGTTCTTTGCTCAGACTTATTTCCTCCTTTTGAAAGGAGGAATTAATTTCTTCCATTTTTGGGCAGATTTAAGCAAGAGTTCAAGAAGATTACCTACCTTTTTCACTTCTTCCTCCATAACACCAA